AAGAGGTAAACAAGCGTAGAATTTGTTACACTTTCTTCCCCTGTCCTCTTTTGTCAGCGACAATAAAGTTGGCCGGTAATCTTAGATATCCCTAGCCCCAGGATTCTATCTTACAGAACCAGCAGTAATAGGGGTATTAGGAATGGTTCATATAGGGAGAAAGAAAAAAGATACATAAAATTGGGGCGTATAAGATAACCCGATGATGGCACGCGATAACTAAAATAATATAACCAATAGGAAAGTACCCACAAATTGGCTAGACACCCATCTGCAGTCTACATCGAAATTTATCGCTTAAAATAATGTGCTATTTCTCTATAAAAAAGAAGGGAAGAAAGAGCGCAGGCTGGACTGTATGAGGGTAACATTTGAAAAATAAAGGAATGTACGAAAAGTAGCAAGAAGAAGTCGGTCAAAACATTCAGGTGCACATAAACTGTACTTTAAATAAAACAGCTTCCAATTATCAAGTCCTTACCCTGTTCGAAATTAGAGTTGATGGCAGCCAGACTTCCGCCCAGTATTCTGCATTCGGCGACGGACTGTTCAAAAGTGCGCATTTTGTGTACATCACTGACAATCTGCCGAAGAGAGAAGGATGGAAGAAAAAGACCGCGATGAGAGAACGAATATTATACGCTGGCTTTCGAGCCCGATATAAATAATTATATAAACGTGCTGGTTGTGGCTGAGGGTTGCAGGAGCTAAGAGAGTCACGCACACGAAGGCGCAAGAGTTGCGCAGTCACCAAAAGTACAAAGAATACCGCCGTGGAGGGCAATTTGAAGAGTCGAGCACACGCCGTACATCAGTGACAGCTTCGGTGACAGCCGGCTCAGAAGCTCGTCAGACTTTAGTTAGACAAGTTCAGATAATGGGCCAGCACTAGATCAGGGGAAATTCATTGGCTGTAAGGAAACCAGCTCGCCTTCAAAACGCTAAGCCTGGATGCGAGTGGAGTAACCAGCTATTAACCACAAGACGCTACCTTATTTTGACAGAACTGTTACGTAAGGTGATGCAGTTATGGGCCAAAAAACAACAAGATCAGAGACATGTCAATGTCGTGCGAGCATCAGGCACAGTTGTAACACGCAGCTAGCGGTCAGACACACTTACTCGACG